GGGTGGGGGCAGCGAGGCAGGGCCCACTGCCAGGTCCGCGGGCAAAGCTGGAGCCCGCGTCAAAGGATTCTGGCTGAGCGGGGAGAGGGCGTAAGATGGACGGATGGAGGGCGCAGCTGTGGGATCAGTCAGGGGCCTAGGAGAGGGCTTGGGAAGGTTGCCGAGGATGCTGGTGTCACTTTCCCATCCCCATGCCTCCCATACCACAAAGGCCCAGCGAGTGCCAAGGGGGACGATGCTGTCCATGGGCAGCTGACCCCACACTACCCCTACCCCTCGAAGGCTCAGTGCTGCAGGGCCAGGATGGCGGGGTCTGCTTCCTGGCGGCATCTTCCCCCTCAGCTCCAGACAGACAGTGCTTTTTCCTTCTTCAGATGATTCAATGAAGAGGCGCTGTCAGTGGAAAGGAACTGAATTAGGTCTTGGAGTCCCTCCAAGACTTCGTGCTCTTCCTCCCCGTATGATGGTAATTGCACTTTGCATGTCAGATTGGCTATCCTGGTTTCTTCTCGCAACAACCCCGCGAGGCTGAGAAGTCAGATCGTGATGACTCGGAAAGCCCACTGGGCTGGAGCAAGAGGGCCAGGCTTGGGGTCCCAGTCCTCCCAGGAATCCTTCCCAGTTTTGGAACCCCAGGCAATAGATCCACATTTCCACCAGGGGCGCTCAGGATGACATTAAGATCTGATACTCAGATGAAAACCTTTTCGTTTTAGATCCTTACCCTCACTTTATGGCAAGTGCTATGCGTTTCCTATAAGTTCCTACAGAAATGCATTTATGTATACAAACAGATTTATGTAAAGCATTAAATGGGAGACTAGGTGATGAGGAGATATGGTGAAAACCATGCAGGAAGTCCAGGGAAGAATGTCGAGGAAGAAAACGAGCATCTTGGATCCCGTTTCTTCATCCATAAAGCAGGGTCACCAGCTTGCCAGAGTCACCGTGGGGTCCGGCAAAGCACGACGGAAGGATGCACACCGCATACACACAGGGGATCAGCATTTCACAGCCACAGCCCTCTGCCCGAGGTCACGCAGCCCAGTTAGGCAGCTAGGGCTCCCCTGGGGCTCCTCACAAACGCCAAGAAGGTGCCCAGCACCCATCCAGCTGGATTCAACTGCACCAGGAGAGACTAAAGTTTGACGTGAAGACCATATTTGGAATGAAACATTTCGAGGCCCAGGAGGTGCTGGGGGGCTAGGAGGTGGGTGGTGGCGGTTGTGCTTGTGAGGAGGCCTGCGAGGAGGAAAGAACTTCTGTGGTCTTTCTCAGCAAGGAGCCCCACACCCGTCTCTGGGATATGCTGTCAGGGGCAGTATGTTCGATGGTGGAACAGGCCAGCTCCAGTGAATGTGATTGGGGGTGGGCACGGGGGGGGTGGCTGCTAGACCCACTACCACTCGGACTAATCAAACCAATTAGATCCTCTTAGGACCTGTCCAACCGACCCCTGAGGGCAAGCTGGGTATGACTGGGTCCCTGTCCTGAGGGAGCACCGGAAGCCCTGGCACTGGGAGGCCAGAGAGGAACTCAGTCCCCTACGGCCTAGAGATTGGGATTAGTGACGACCATTTCTAGTTGGGATTTTCTCTGGCTCCTCTCCTCTGCTCCCACCCCACGCTGCTCCATCTTGGGTTCCCGAGGCGGGAGAAACCCTGGGATCTGAGAAGGTCCCACGCCCCGAAGACAGCAGCTTGCCCTCTGGCTCTTTCTCCCTGGGTGACATCATTCCCCCTTGGGGCCAGGAAAGGCAGCTCCTCTCAGTCAAGCCCCAGCTGGTGCTCCTGCCTCCCCACTTCCCCCGGCCCTCCCCGCTTCCCACACTTCCTCCTTCTCTCGTCCTCCTTCTCACAGCTGCCTTCTGCCCTCAGTGTCAGCACCCTCGCTGGTGGGCAAGAGGATGCGGAGCTTTCCTTTCCTTCCTTGCTCTTCCTTTGGAGGGGGCCGGGGGGAGGACAGAAGGGACAGGACAAGAGCTGTGTTTCTCCTTGATCCCACCAGGTAGATGAATGGAGTCCTGTCACGACTGTGTGTTAAGGTCCACTGAGGAAGACGTGTTCTGGAAGTTCTCAGGAAGTCTTAAGATAACCACCAAAACTCACCTCCAAGCCACGTATAAACACTCATTACGTCACCTAATCTGTCCAGAGCTGCGTGAGGCAGAAACTCGTATTCCCGTTTTGAAGAATGGAGAAGTTGAAAAACGATTTAAATAACCGTCCCGGCCACACAGCTGCTGCTATGTGGCAGAGCTGGGATTTGAACCCTGTTCCATTTGTCTCTAGAAACCAAGACCTTAACCAATACCGAATATCATTTTCCATAGGGATCTAATTTCACCTCCTGTTGACTTGACTGGGGCCTCTGTGTTATGAGCAGTCCCAAATTCATACATACCCACACATTCATTCTCACTGGAAAATGGTACAAAATGTCAGCATTATGTCTTCAGGATTTTTCCATACTGGAAGAGACTGAATGGGGTCATTTCATTCCTCTCACTGCCTCTGACCTGGACTGTGTTCAGCCTTCTGGAAGGATGCCTGCAAGTTCAGGCTTCTCGCCTGTTGGTAAAATGAAGCCTTGAGCGGTGTCCCTGACTCTTTCTCTCTGAGGAGTGCATTACTGCCTGAGGGCAGCAGGTCTGGAGACACAGGACTTGGGGTATTCAGTGGTACTCAATAGATGTTTTATGGGTGTGTCACAGGGGCAAGGTGCTAGCTGGGTTCTGGGGAGGCATAACAACGTGTAGATCTCAGACCCTGCCCTGGATGGTAAATGCTCAGTGAATGTTTCATGAGCAACTGAGCATTGAAACGTGGAGGCGGGGGGAGGGGCTGGGCCGCGTACAGAAGTAGCACGATAGACAAAGGCACTTGGGGTGTCACTGATGACGTTCTGACAGCAGCAGGGGGTATGCATATGGGAACAGTGACATGCTTCTGAGTGGCAAGTGACAGGATCACAGGAGTGTGGGAAGACTGAGCTGGTGGCCGGAAGGCCTTCGAGGAGGGTTCTGCATTCCAGGAGATGGAAAAGCAGATGTGAGACCTCTGGGGACAGGAAGAGGGGCAGAAGGTGGAAACAAAAGCCAAACGGGACCCTGAGGTCCAGGTTGGGGTGACAAGGAAAGGGGTATGAGAGAAGGGGCAGAAAAAGGAAAGTCAGAGAAGCAGTTTGCGGGAAGGGACCTCAAGGAGGTTGGTTTGAGGCTTAGGGTCTCCTCTGACTCTGCCCTGGGTCTTCCCAGCCGCGCTGAAATGCCTCCAAAAGGGTCTCAGGAAGCCGGAAGCCAAAGAAGTCAGAGCAAGGGGCCATTGGCGAGCGCAGCCACCTCACAGGCTGTCATAGCTGCCACTCCAACGGAGCCCGCTTCCCGGGGTGGGGGGGAGGGTCTGGCAAATCCCAGGGTCTCCAGGGCTCCCACCCACCACACTCAGCTGAGGCCTCCTTGCCTTCAGGGACACTCAGTCCTCCAGCTGCTTAGTGCTGCTGGCTCAGGAGAGCCTGGCCTGGTCCCCTGCCCCTGCCAGGGTCAGGGTTGCCAGGTGAGGGTTTGACCGCAAAGCCTGAGAGTGTCAGCTGCCAGTGCAGTGCCTCTGTGCCCGCCCTCCCAATCCCTCCACCCCTGCACCCCGTGGGCTTAGTTCTGTGCATTACGACCAGGCTGGGCGGTAAGATGATCCCCACGGGTCTCTGGGGGGCTTAAGAAATAGATGGTCCCCTCACGCGAGGGCTTTTGCTGTTGGTAACACGAGCAGATCCAGGGAGGGAGCCGGCGGGACGAGGGCAGCTTGGGCCGTGAATGTTATCAGACCACGCATCCCCTGCCCGCCTCCAAACTCGGCCCTCACCCAAGTCAGCCTCTCGGCCCCTTCCAGCTGGCACCTGGGACTCGTGCCTTCGACACCCGCAAAGGGGCTGGAGGGCTGGCCCCCAGGGTCCCCACTCTTGGCCAGAGCAGGGGAGCCACTTGGGCTGAGAAGGCAGGAACAGCACCGGAGCCAAGTGTAAGTGCAGCTGAGAGGGGGAAGGCAGAGAAGGGCCGGGAAGGGCTTCTGCACACAGGAGCATCCTGGCCTCCTTGTCTCTCTCCTGAGCGGCCACATGTGCACAGCAGTGAAAGGAAGCCCCCGGCCTAGCCTTTTCCTTCGGGAATCTGAGCTCCTTGTCTTGCCCTCATGTCCTCCAGCCTCCTCCAGCGCCCTGGGGAGGGCAGAGTAGCCTTAAGGCCCAGCTCCTCTGTCCAGCCATCTTGAGGCAGGCAGTGCTTGGTATATAGCATTTGGAGCGAGGTGTCCTGTGTCCAAGGCCCAGCGATATGACCTAGCTGACCTTAGGCAAGTTACTTCACCTCCGCCATGGTTAACTCACTAAAATGAGAGCACTAATGGCAACCTCACAGGGTTTATATAAAGATCTTAAGACGTGATGTGCCTAGAGCAGGTAGCTCAGTTCCTATTACATAGCGAACATGCACAAACTGCTCTTATCGTGGCCATGATCATCGTCATCGTCATTGTTGTCTCAGGGAGGCTCGCAAAGAGGGCGCAGCACCTCGTAAAAAGACAAAGACGGCCACCACCGTTTCGCGCATCCTCTTGTATCTGCGTCGTCTCGAGCAAGCTACTCACACGCCTCCGTTCCCTCATCTAGTACTAGTCACTACCTCATAGACTAGTTGGGGAGATTAGCCACAGATCCATTTATATATGTGTCTGTATTTACATATATGTAGCTGAGGACAGCACCTGCCTTAGCACGTTAGCTGCCATTAATATGATTTCCTTTAACTAGCCATATGGGCGTTAAGATTCCTCCTCTCCCAGCTCCCATCTGCACTGCACTGGGCCCTGTGGAGGTGGGGTCAGTGGAGGGCTGGAATGACCCCAGAGGTGTATGTTTGGGCGGGCGTCTAGGTTCAGGGCCAGTAAGGGGCAGCGCTTCCCCAGCCCCCCGTGGCTCATGGGCCTGTGCATTTCTGTCCCCTGCAGATGTCTATGAAGGAAGTGGGTGATGGCTTGCAGGATCAGATGAACTGCATGATGGGTGCGCTGCAAGAACTAAAGCTTCTTCAGGTGCAGGCAGCACTGGAACAGCTGGAGATCTCTGGAGGGAGTCCTGCCCCAGGCTGCCCTGAAAGCCCCCGGACACAGCCCCAGGCCCCTGCCAGGCCCACGGCCTGCTCCTCCTCCAACCAACCTTTTGGCACGAAGTTTCCGTCCTGTAGGAGTGTCTGTGGGAGGGATCCGGTCCCCCTGACCAGAGCACAGCTCCCAGAGCACCAAAGCTGTGCCCAGCAGGGGCCAGAGCTGGCGGAACCGGAAGACTGGACCTCCACATTGATGTCCCGGGGCCGGAATCGACAGCCTCTGGTCCTAGGTGACAATGTTTTTGCGGACCTGGTGGGCAACTGGCTGGATTTGCCGGAACTGGAGAAGGGTGGGGAGAAGGGGGAGGCAGGGGAGCCCAAGGGGGAGAAGGGCCAGCCCCGGGAGCTGGGCCGCAGGTTTGCCCTCACAGCAAACATCTTTAGGAAGTTCCTGCGCAGCGTGCGGCCTGACCGAGACAGGCTGCTGAAGGAGAAACCGGGCTGGGTGACACCCACGGCCTCGGAGCCCAGAGCCGCCCGCTCACACAAGGTCAAGAAGCGGAGCCATTCCAAGGGCTCTGGACACTTCCCCTTCCCGAGCACTGCCGAGCCCAGAAGGGGGGAAAGTCCTTCCACAAGCTGCCCCAAGGCCCTGGAACCCTCACCCTCTGGCTTTGATATTAACACAGCTGTTTGGGTCTGAATCCTAGAGATAGAACGTTGACTGAACCCAAAAGGTCCAGGTCCCCAGTGCTGGGCCCTGGGAAGGATGGGGGGAGGGGGGCGGGTGCTATGGCTTTCAAAAGCCTAACTCTGGGTTCCTTCTTCCCAGGAAGGAGGGAAAAGAAGCGAGAGTGTCTGGAGTAGGACTAACAGGCATGCGGTTGGTAGAGGCTGTGGTGGGGGCTGGCTGGTGGGGAGATGAGGGTTCCCGGACTGAAAGCGGGATTGAGAGAGTGGTGCTCACCTTGGGGCTGCAGGTGATGAGGGGCATGGGGCAGGAGACCAGGAAATTCTTACATTCCTTCACTGCCCCAACTAAACATTCTGTATGGATTAGGGCACTGGGGCCTCATGTTCCCCTAGAAAGGCCCCCAATAAAGACCTTGGCTCCTGTGTCCCCAACCTTATAACCGCTGGCATCCCTGGCAAAGCACTGCTCCAGGCACAGGCATGAAACCCCAGCCCTCCTGGGATAGGGATCAGCAGAGAGGAAACTTCCCACTCCCACCTCTCCCTGTTGGCCTTCAAGATTTCAGCCCATACCTGGATCCTGGGAAATGGGCCTAATAAGGAGTGTACGTATAAGGAGTACTCGAGGGAGCCCTATGTCTTTTCAAAAGCACAGGAAAGATATCTGTATAGCACTTTAAAGTTTGAAAGCCTTTTCATATCCCATATCCGTTATCTCCTTTTGAGTAAGCAAGTAAGGCAGTTTAGCCCCCTTTTCCCGATGAGGAAGCAAGCTTAGATATGCCACCTGCGGGCAGGTGGCAGATCGGCGCAGGGCTGACCCAAGGGCTGCAGCAGGGCCCTGGAGGCACAGGAGCTCCTTCCCCAACACCCCGCCTCCAGCACTGAAAGCCCCCCTCACCACCTCCCTCCCCCGCCCAGCTCCGGACGCAGGCACAGGGCGTTCACCAGCGAGGCCAAGGTGGGCCCGTAAGAAATACGCCCCGTGTTTTAGATTCCCAGCTCCACCCCACGATCGGGCGGCTGGGGGAAGGGCGGCAACTCCGCTCCCTACTCGAGGCGCCTAAAGCTTTCCTGGAGCGGCGCACGTGGCTGTCCGCCCCCCCCCCCCCCCCCGGGGAGCTGCCGGCCCGCCCACGCCCGCGGGGACCGCCCGCTGCTTGGGAAAAGACAATGTGGGTCCCTGTTTGGGCCGGCCCGCCCTGGAGGCACTCCCCCTCTCCCCGCCTCGCTCCTCCAGACTGAGCTCCTCTCCGCTTGATGGAGGGGAGGGGGGGGGGGGTGACAGCTGCAATTAGAGGCAAGACGCCTTCCCGCCCTCGGCGCATTAACAAATTGGAGAAGAAAAATAACAAGAAAGGCTCTTCCTGCATCCTGGACCCCCGGAGACCAAGCTGGAGGAGGAGGCTTAGCGCAGCAGCAGCACAGCGGGAATTGGGGGGCGGTGAGGATCGCGCTCAGATCCCCACGCAATCAAATCGTAGAAGTTTTTGTTGGCGGAAGCTACGAGGGGAAGGTGCTAATTTCATTCATTTCCTTGAGCGCTCGCTATCTGCCAGGCAGTGTGCACAACTTGTCTTTCAGACTTCAGAATGACCCTAGAAATGATTGTCTTCCCAGTAAGTGGGTGGAAGCCCTTGGGGGTCACATAGGCTGCCCAGATTAGGCTTCTGGCTCATGGAAGAATCAGGATTGTCTGGCCGCAAAAACGGCCTTTCATACTCTCCCTGAAGTTTGCCAGTTGAGGCAGCGCTTTCTGGAGGAGCAAGGCCCTACCCATCCTTTCTGTCTCTCCACAGAACTCTGATATTTCAGTCCTGGGGGAAGGCCTGTTGGCTGTGGCTGCCTTGGTGATGGTGGTGCTGTGTGCATATGTTCAGTGTGGGGGGGGGGGGGTGTGGGTGTGGGTGAAGGCTCCTCCCACTGGGTGGTGGTGAAGTCACCAGCTCCCAGTCCGGAATGATTCCGCAGGAAACCAAGTCCCCTCTTGGCCATTCATCTGTGACTCATCTGTTTTGTGGACCAGTCATAACAATCCAGACCCAAGTGAACAAAACTTTATGAACATCTCCTAAAGGCCGGGCATCGGGACAGGATCAAAACACAGCAAGGAAGAGGACCCGGTTCCTGGCTCAAGGGGTTCAGTAAGAAGAAACAACTCTTTACCCATCAGTTAGCCAGAAGGGATCCAAGGGAATGAACTCATTTTAACTGGGCCAGAACAAAACCATTAGGAGTGACATTTGCTGGCAACAGAATCCCCAGGCCTGGGGCAACGCTATCGCCATCTTTGCGTTCGTTCGTTCACGTTTCCTTCTCGCCTCACTCTGGAAGTGGCTGCTGTTGCTCTTATTCTGCATGGAGAGGCCCTGGGAAGTCAAGCAATTTGCCCAAGGTCACAGCCACAGAGCTGGGATTGAAACGGTCCCGACAGACTTCCGGCCTTGTGCTGTTCACACTACCCCACAAAGTGTCCATATCTGCTCCAAAGCCAAGTCAAGTGCAACAACAGAACCTGTCCTCCCCATATTATCCATGCATGGATAATAAATGGAATGCTTATTGTCCACTGGGGGAATTTTGCTCTGGTCTTGACAAGGGCTGGTAGAATGCCCTCATCACTAGGTCATGCTTTGCTAATGAAACACAATTCACTTACACCCCCTCCCCCGCACCACTAATTTTTCCTTTTCCCTCCTTTTCTGGGCTTTGGTCGTGACAGGATGGAGACTGTATTCCACTGAAGCTGAGGGGAGAGGTGAATGGGAATGTCTGGGGCCTACGGGATGTAGGAAAAGTGTAGGGGTGGGGAGCAGCAGGAGGAGGGGGAGGTAGGGAAGGTAAGCAGAGGGAAATTGACAGCTTAACTCTGCCCCTGGGGCTCATTTTATGGTTAATTAGGACATGCAAATAAGCTGGAAGCTCATCTAATACCCTCCCTGGCACGGGGCCCCGCGTCACACCTGGCCCACTTCCCTGGCAGGTACGGGGGACCCCCTGATTGACCCAGACATCTGCTCAGGCCCCCACCTGCTTCTCTGTGGCTCTGTGGTCACTGTGTCTCTAGATGTTCCCTGACCATGAACAGGACCTAGAAGAGTCCCTACCGGGCCTGCGGGATCTCCTGGCTTCCTTTTTCTTTCCAACCCTTCAGATCCGGGACCCCTCTTTCCCGGAGCCCCCCACCCCGGCCCACCAAGAACTTCTCCTGCACCCAGGTTAAGATCGGAACCCCAACTTGCCCAGAGGAACAGAGACCTGCTTTGGCTCTGTCCCCACTACATCCCGCTTCCTCTCTGTGGGGTAGGGGGCATCCCTGTCTTTCCCAAGTCACACCATTTCCTACAGGGCCTCCCTAAAAGCAAAAGCACAGCTTGCATCTTGGGGAAGCAGGGGCATGTCTCCAGCTTTCAGGGTACCTCAGGTCACTCCCCGACCCAGAGTAGCTAAGGCACTTCTGCCAATACCATGGAATGAGCACTGCATTTGGGAGTCAGACAGGATTTCTGTCCCTGTCAGCTTGAGCATGTTGCTTAACCTGAGCCTCATTTTTCTTGTCTATGACATGGGGGTAATGCAAGGCTGCTGGAGATTTAAAGGACATCATGCATGTCCTCCATGCAGGAACACGGCAGAAGCTCTGGGCTGGACCACCTGACCTTCAGTTCAGGCACGAACCACGTGTCCCAGAGCAAAACCGCTAAAACAAAACAACAACAACAACAACACTTTCATGGAGGCTTGGTTTCCTCTTCTGTTTAAAAAAACGTATACGGGCCCTATTACCTCACAGGATCGTGGCAAGGATCAGAGAAGACAATAGGTTTCTCTATTGTAGAGAAGACAACGTACGACGTTTTTGTACGTTGTACAAATATTACCAATTTGCCAAATGGCAAACAACTGACACTTTCTCATGGAGGATGGCGTGTGTGGGGAGGGGTGTGGAGAGGGCCACAGGGGCTGCTTGAGGACCCCACTGCCCGAGGATGGGCTCTAGGGAACACCGCCAGCCCCTCCTGTACCCAGCTGTCCCTCGCAGTCAACCGCGGGCCCTCACATTCCTGGCAAGGACTGGAGAGCTGAATGAGCCAAGTTCTGATGGCTTTCAGAAGAGTCCAGCCCTGATCTGCTCTCTGCTCCCTAAGGCCTCGGCTGCTAGAGTCTCTGCCAAGCCCCACACTTCACCCCTGCCCCTCCCCTCAGTCGCCCTGGGGACTAGTGGCCTAAAGGTGCTAGTGGCACTTCTGCTAGGATCCCCCCCCCCTCCGCCCCCCTGGATGGGGTGGGAGGGGCCCTGAAGCCGCCCCTCGCAAGAGGTGTCAGGGGCTCAGGATGACAGGCCTGGAGGAAAGGCCTAGCCAGCCCCGGGGGACAAGGGCAGGATCAGGACCCCAGACTGCAGTCACCCCCTTGGTACTATTTTCTTTTTACTTTTATTATTTTTTTTAAACTAAGTTTCACACCCTCGTTCTCCCTCCGCTTCTAGTGTCCCTGCCCCCCAGGTGTCTCTGGAGGCATCCTGGTGTCCTGGTCAGAGAGAGGCCTCTGAGGAACACTGAGGGAGGGGGCCCTTGGGCCGGGGGCGCCTACCTCTCCACACAGTGCTTGGGGCGATACTAATCTGACAAGGGACTGTGACACTTCCCCTTTATGCTGCCTCTTGCCGGGTCCCTGGGTGCCTCAAACTGTACACTAAGGCCTCAGGCCACAGCTGCTGCCCTGGCTTCCACTCCACAGAATCCATTCTCTCTAGATATGCCCCTCTGGGCATGGCGCTCAAGAGGACCGCCCCATTCCAGGGCCTAGGAATCACGGCCAAAAACTGGAGGCTTGCTCCACACCTCCACCCTCTCCTGCCCGTGACCGGCTCTGGGCTGTCTTCCCCTACCCCTCTGGTTCTCTCCAGTCCGGGGAAGCCCCCTAGCTGCCTCCAAATGGTCAGGGTGGGGTGGTTCAGCTCTCAGGGGGCACTGCCGTAGGGGGAACGTGTCCTCCCTCCAGGGGCAGAGGTGCGTTCTGCTTTCCTGTTTCTGGCTCTGCTCACCCCCACCCCCACCCGGCCCCAGCTGCTTTCCCTTTCCTGCTGCCTTTCCCTCAGCCCCCTTCCCTTCCTCATCGCCTCTCAGGAGGCCGCAGCTGCAAGGAAATGCTCCCCACCTTCCTTCGCCTTGGGGGGGGGGGGCGGAGAATAGGGGAGGTGAGGGCAAGGTCTTCAAGGTACGGTGACTTCATCCATAGCCAGCCTGATTTGCCTGGTGTCTGGAGGCCCAGCCCTCCCCCAGCAGACCCCAGTGGACTTGCTCCGCCTCCTCTGGGGGCACTGCTCCCCTCCCCCAACCCCTGCCCTATCTTCCAGGGCCCTGTGCTGCTGAGTGGCTCTCTGCACTGGCTGGTCTCCGAGACCCAGGTTCCCCATGGCCTCAGACTGGCTTTTTACTCAGCTTCCACTGCAGTTCAGAGAGCACCTCCTCTGTGAAGCCCTCCCGGGGGCCCTTACCTGCGCCTGTATACCCAGCCACAGGAACCCCTTTTAAAATTGCCGTTTCGCATGTTCGTCTTCCCCTCTAGACTGTGAGCACCTCCAGGGTACCAAGTACTCATTACTCATTTCTGTATCTCCCGCACCGAACACAGTCTTCAGGGCGAGCCCTGGGCTGAGCCCGGCTCTTGCGTCGGTAAGGCCCGCCTCGGTCAAGGCCCCCTCAGCCGCTCCCAAGGCCCCTTGCTAGCCCCGTCCCTAAGCTGTTGTGCATGCCCTCTGTAACCCCCTGTGGCTTTGGCTTCTCCACGCCAGCTGCCCAGGCCAATCTTGTTCTCATGCAGGCTGTCCAGGGGCCTCAGTGTCACTGGGCTGCCCAGAGCTCGGGCCCTTCGGATGGCCACCGCAGCCGCTTCTCTCCCAAGCCTGCTCAGTCCCACATGGGCCCCAGTTCCCATTTCAGAGGATACTGCTTTTACCCCGGCCTCCCAACGGTCTCCCTTTCTGCCCACTCCCTCTCCCCCATTGCCATTGTCCATTTGGCAACGACATCTGGCCCCAGGCGTACTCTACCCAAGAAGTTTTTCCTAACCTGCACTGCCAGGGATCCCCACCCCTCCCGGGGACATGGAGTCTGCCGGATTCTCCTTCCTCCATTGTACTTATGGAGGCTCAGTCAGGGCGGGGCAGTGGGGAAGGAAGTTGAGAGCTGGGTGTTCAGGCTTCCCTACCTCCAGCCCCCACTACTGGCCACAGTCCAGGCATTGTCTCCCAGGGACTGAGCTGCCCACAAGGCAGCATTCGTAGTCATTTGCGTAGAAGTGGTGGGAAAGCGGAGGGTCTCAGGCATAAATTTGCTTTAAAAAGGCACACACACACACACACACACACACACAAACCCAAAAAACCAGATTCTTCCAAATGGGCTAAGTGTAGCTCCCGAAATCCCTACACGGACTCAGGCTTGGGACTGGAAGGCCTGCAGGCTCTCACTCCAAGCCTGCGACGTGCACGGGCCACAGCGACAGCTCCAGCTCCACAGGACCAGCCTAGGGAGCCTGCTCCTTATCACAGGGAGCACTGGGCCAGACTGACTGAGGCAGGTGCTAGAAGCCCTGATCGGAGGTCCCAAGCATCTGTTAAGATAAGACCATTTATATCCCAGAAAACAAGGGGTTAGGCTCTCCAGCAGAGATTTCAAGGGCCCAAAGAATGCCAAATCCGCTGGCCTTGGCTTCAGGACCCCGCTGGGAGTGTGGGGATCAAATATCTTCTTTAAACTCCTCCATTACATGCATCCCCTCCCAGGAAAGCAGGCAGAGCCCGGTGCCTGGCCCATAATTCCACGTCCTGTTTTCCCACCTGGGAAGGCTGCAGGCTTTTCCCTTCATCCCGGCGGCTCCTTCAAACTCCCCAACCCGCTCAACTGGGGACCCTGGGGATGGGAGGGGCAAGGTGGTCGCGGCGGGGGTGGTGGTGGTGGGTGGGTGGGTACACAAGGGAGGGCCTGGACGATGGGGTCTTGGTGGGAAAGCTGGCAGCTCCCCAACAGCAGCGAACTGAGGAAAAACGCTCCCTTACTCGACTTGTCAATCACGCTGGCAGATGCCAAGGGGAGGGCTGGGAGGGACAGAGGCTGCGGTCTCACGAGGGGGGAGTCAGAGCAAGAGCAGGGGGAGGGTGTGAGGGTGGAACTGAGGGTGGCTGTATGCCCGCGAGGAGCCAAAAGGTCTGAGGGGGGCACAATCAGGTCAGAGGAACAGAGGAACAGAGTTAACAAAGGAGATTTTTCTCTTCAACCCTCTCCACTACCTTTGTGTGCCCAAGTATTAATGCTGGTTCTCTGAGCTTTCAGGGCACCTGGGAGGTTCAGTCAGTTAAGCGTCCAACTTCGGCACAGGTCACGATCTCAGTTTGTGGGTTTGAGTCCCGCGTCAGACTCTCCTCTGTCTTCCTATCTCTCAGCCCCTTCCCTATGTGCACCCTCTCAAAAATAAATGCACATTAAAAAAAAAAGGTAGGGGTGCCTGGGTGGTTCAGTTAAGCGTCCAACTGTAGCTCAGGTCATGATTTCAGTCTGTGAGTTCGAGACCTGTGTCAGGCTCTGTGCCGACAGCTCAGAACCTGGAGCCTGCTTCGGATTATGGGTCTCCTCACCTCTACCCCTCCCCTGCTTGCGCTCTCTCAAAAATAAATAAAAACATTAAAAGAATTAAAAAAACATAAACTGAGCTCTTGTTTGCGAATGATCACAACCACATGACTCAGATCATTAGAGAAAGGGTTTTGGAAAACGAAGTGAGGAATGAAGACTGAAAAGACCATTAGTCCAGGGGGAGTTACTCTTGCAAATCCAGATCTCTTCTGAAATTTCCCTGTACCCACCTTCTCAGTGGCACCTGAATGAACAGCAGGCCCTACTTTTCTAGCTCTCCCTACTGGACGGTCACCTTCTCCTTTCAAGGCTCGCCACAACATGGTCCCGATCTACTTCTTAGCCCATTATTTCCACATTAATGTCAGCCGAAACTAGGTAATTTCTCGCTCCCGTATTCTGCAAACCTGCCTGTGACACTTCCGCACATTTACCTGTTGAAATTCTACCCTTAAAGGCCCACTTCAAACTCCCCTTCCTGAAGCATAGCAGCTGGCCCAGAACAGAAAGCATCGGTCCTTTCTGTCTCCTACTACTTTGTAGGACACTTCCTCATGGTACTTTTTATCAGTTCTTTGTGACCTACCAGTTTCTCTGACCCCGTACTGTCTTTCCTCCCACCGCCATGCCTGCCCATACTCCCATCTGGCTCAGCCCCTGTACTTGTATGCTAGATTCCGTCCATGTAGCCTGCTCAGTTTTCCTCCTCAGTGGGCCACTCCCATCAGCTCACCAACAAGCGCAGTCTCGACCACCTTAACAGGGCAGTCCACACCTGATGTCTCCAATGACCTTCTTCCTGTCTTCTCCTATGCTACTCCAGGCCTGCCCCCTACTGCTCCACTGACAGCCCATCAAGGTCACCAGTGACCTTCATGTTCTCCTTTGCTAACTCCTCTTCATCTCCGAACCTCAATGATGGGAGTCCCTGGACTTCTCTACCTACAATCAACACCATGATCCTGTTCAGCTCCGTGTTCTTGAACGTTCACTGTGAATCTCCTGTCCAGATCTCTTCCCCTCAATTCCAGACTCCTACCCAACTGCCTACCGTGCAACTCTAGGATGTGACCTGCTCCTAACACTTAGTACGTCCAAAATGGAACTCCCAAGCCTGCTCCGGCCACAATCTTCACTATCTTGATTATTGGCAAAAAAATGTTGGCGTTATCCTGGACTCCTCACTCACACTCCACTTTCTCCTAACTGGTCTCTCTGCTCCCACCCTTGCCCTTTCACAGGTTCGTCTCAGCTCAGCAGCCAGAGTGTCCTGATGATAGGTTGAGTCAGATCATGTTCCCTATGCCCTTTGCTGAAATCCCTTCCATGGGCCCCGCTCAGCCCATGCTGAAGGAAATTCCTTCCCCCCCCCACAACCCCGACCCAATCCTACTACCATTCCCCCCTTGCACACTCCACTCCAGCCATATTGCTGGTGCTCCAACATGCAGGCACACGTCCACCTCATGGCATTTGCAGACACTTCCCAATGCATGGAAGGCGGTTCTTTCCCCCAGGCAGTTGTGTGGGAGGCACATTTCAAATATTTATGCAAATAGCAACTTCAGCAAGGGAATAAACCTCTGACCCACCACCACATTCTCTCTGCCCAGCACTCCTATCCTTTTAACTCCTCTCCGGAGCACTCAGCATTTTACACACCATACACACACACACACACACACACACACACACACACACACAGTCTTGTGTCCTGCCAAAGACTCCCGGAGGGAAGAGACTTTTGTATCATTCACGGCTGTATCCCCAACATGCAGGTCAGCATCTTGTATGGAGTCGAAGCACTATCAATATTTGCTGGCAGGTGCATAAGGATCATCTCTGCTTTATACGCCCTACAAGAATTTTTACATGGTTAGAAGCAAACACAAGAACTCGCACAGGGTTAAGCTTTAACAACAACAACAAAATATATTGAAAACAACAGCTCAAAATAAGAGTCACATCACTGGTAAAATGGGAAGGTTTATTAAGGTTTTTCCTCAAGAGGAACAGCCAAGCCCATGCTTCTTAAGAGAAGCAATTAGCAGGAAATGTATGTCACACCTTGGGCTCCGAACCACAGGAGGCTTCTTCTTAAAAAGCCAAAGAGTTGTATCCCCCAATACCCTTTTAAAGCTCTTCTTAATGTCTGCAAAACAGAATCCATGTTGCCTTTCCAGAAAGCAGAACCAAGCATCCAGTTCAAAGTCTCCAGCTGTTCTCGACAAGAATATTTAAGCAAGACATGGCATTAAATAAATGGACTGCGCATTCAGCAAACCCAAGATAAAACTGCAGTAAAAAAAAATATTCATATTCAATGTAATGTCTGTACTACATTTTCAAGAATAACTTGCATTTTTTACATTTTTGGGGAATAGAAACACTAAAAGCTTGGTGGTTGGACTACCTCAAAGCTTGCATTCATTTCCTTCCCTGCACAAGATGGGCTTTTTCCAGATGCTGGCCGAGCACCCAAACCACTCTGCCCTTTTAAGTTTGGAGCGGAGTCAAGAGGGGCTTTTTTACACATTTATGTAGCACCTTAAATAAGTACAAGACCCAAATAAAACAAAAGGTTGTTTTACAAGCTATTTTCCTCCTCCAAATACCTGACAATGTCGTCACACTTTGGTTTCACAACACACATATAATTTATACGAGCATATTTTATGTCTTCTAACATTCTACTGCGATTGCTTATCAATGAAAATACGGAGGTAACCTTTCTTTCTGTCCCTCAGTCCTAAAAAGGAAAATGAGATACGTGAACTGACAAATATAGGTGTCCCTGATGAGGAAAATGAGGCAAAATACTGAAATGGGGCAGGTCCAATGATGATGTTCATATATGGAGAAAAATAGCTCCCGACCAAGTAACCTGTCTTAAATGATGCGGGTAATAAAGTAAAGATCAGCACCTTCCCAAGGATTAACTTTTCCCAAGTACATTCTAATTTCAAAGAAACAGACCCTTTCACTGAGGAGTAAAAGGTGGCCAGTCATGATGGCAGATCAAGAGGCCAAAGAGAAACTATTTCAAAGCTGTAGGGGAGAGAGGATAACATGCCAACACCCATATTTCTCCTAACATTCCTAAGAGAACTAACTCTGTGACCACGGTTTAATGAATTACAGTATTTTCACATCTTTGATGAATTTCTTACTTCTCTCCCCTGCCCGGTAGATTTCAAATTCTTGAGGAAAGGCCTTTACGCCTCTTTGTGAAGCAAGCAGTGTTTATTTATAAGAACAGATGGATTGAATTCATACTATTCATTCAAGGCTTGTAAAAGTATTAACTGATACTGAAGCTCCCCCTGGTGGAGGGTAAAATTATAGATGATGTATTTACTGTTTTGTTTCTAAAACTAGATTGGGGGGAGCACTAGAAAGCCATTAAAGTCGTTCGTGCTTTAGTGGGGAAAAACTATCAACTGGGACGTCAAGCCTCCTTTAAATGATATGTTACTCATATGACTAAAGCCATCATGCTTTGAAGAGTCACAAATACGAACATACCAGTTCTTGGATATTTAGCGTATGAGAGTCACAGAATATCCTTGAGGACTTTGGGATTTTTCAGCTATGTAAGATACACCAAGTACATCTTAGTTTCAGGCACCCTCCTCTCTGGAACCAAGACTGCAGAGTCCACAGAGGGACCACATAAAAGCGCACCCAGCTCCCTTCCTGACAGGATGCCTTTCCAACCTGGCTCAGCAGAGGCAGGTTTTGCTGAGATAGTACTGCACCTCTGATTTCAGCAGGCCCTGTTCTGCGTGCTGCTGTGTGCCACCGGGGCGTTTTTCTTCATGCTTCTGACTTCATCCCAAGTGGACTGGAGAAGAGGGTCACCAAGGAGCAGACTGGAGCTTGGGGGTTATTCTTAATGATCCCTATTGATCTGGTAAATAACCACACAATCTATGTAACAGGTAATGTTTGGCAATTTTTACTTATGTGTGCGATGTTTGTCTATGATTTTAAGTCGAAAGGAGTGTTTGAGAGGTAAGTTTTTAAGCAGAGTGACTCTAGAGGACCTTAATATATGCCACCTTGACCTGGACACACTGGCCCTAACACTTCACTTACTTATTTTCGATTTATTGCATTCATTAGATTTTTGGCCCCTCAATCCCAGACCTACGTGTAACTGGATCAGTAGAAAGTATCAGTTAACTAAATGTATTAGAAACTCAAACTCAAAAGAATACAGTTTCCAATTTTCTTTCTTTTCTCTTTTTTTTTTTTTTCATAATATCTTAACATTTTCTCAGGTTGGTCAGAGCTTATATTTGAAATCTTATTCTTAAATCTCAACTTGGCAGCTTATGGACTGACCACATTCCTGGAAAGTCTCAGCGAGGCATGAACACTACTTCATACCTAGTTGCAACGAGACAGTATCTAGATCCCTGAGCAGTGATGCAGACTTTCTAGGACTCATCTCCTCCTCAGTATTCAGGGACAAGGCACAGGGTTTCCTAAGCTGGTTTCTCTCCTTTGCCAGCACTTGACCGGCCTGAACAAGCTATTGTGCTCCTCTGTGGAGAGCACATCAGTCATATATGGTCACCCTAGATTCATGTCCTCATTAAGCGCCATCTTTGTAGAAACAGAGAAAATTGGGAAGGAAAAGAAAAGCACCACTATACAGCCAGCTAAACTTTTAACTTAGCAGTCGTTTCCACACTATGACTACTATACTATTTCACATGTAGTCGAAGCAAAAGCAAACTGACAACATTCTTGACATGCTTTTTCACTTTTTCCTACTTCTTTCAAATTCTTCAACCTATCATAAAGCAAATTTGAAAATTCTTTCATAACATTTCGCTGGTGGGCTTCTACCCAACAAATTAACAATGACAAAGGATTCCCCTGATGAAATGACAAGCTGTGGAAGATCTGAAATAGTAAAGTTAACCCCTGATACAGTATTAAACTTATTTTTACATATAAAAATAATACACAGTGAGATATTTTATTCAATAAGATACAATCTTTAAGATCAAGAGAGAATATACAAAACTATTCTATGTAGTCTGATGTGATTTGCTGTATAGTAGGAATAAATACATCTGGAACAGAAAGTGTGATGTCTGTTCTTAGAGAAACCAGCAATTACTGAAGGGTTTAAAGCCAAGTGGTGTGCAGGTACCAGGCATAAAAGCACATTGAAACAATGTGACCGTTATAAAATAAAAGTCTTAAATCTACAAACAATAACAAAAACACACAAACCAAATGAAAATGTACTAAAATTTAATCATCCATAAAAGCTGTAATTTAATCTGACAGTAAAACACAAGAAGCAATATTAGAGTTGGTTTAGTATATTATATATTTTAGCTTTGAAAGCCATAGAAATCAGTTATCCCAGTTTTTTTTCCTATAAAAGACCCATTTTTCCAAAGCATTATGCACAAACAATTTTAATTAGAATATAATGACAGAATGATATTTCATAATTTTTTAAATATAAAATGAAGTCAATGACTCAAAAAGTTATCTGCTGCAATGAGTTTGAGGGGAAATTTCATAATCTATATCATTACAGATATAAAGTATAATGGTTCAACTTTTTAGTGCTTGACAGGGAGGAATCATGATAAAAAGGTCAATATGAAATCATCTGATTATAGTAGCAATATCTAACATTTGAAATGCATCCATGCTCTTTTGTATAATCATATTAGAGTCAAGTATATTTATTTTCACATCTGTTATAACTGCTATTGCAAAGGAGAAATACTATTGTCTTATTTTCCAAGAGATATACACAGAGCAATTTTTTTTCTCCAGGGAGTTTGTGCAAACCAATACAAGATTTAAATTCTTCACATAATATATAAAACAGGAGAAGCCTCTTCATCAGATTTAATTTTTGAAGGTCTGGAATGCTGGCACTTCCCAATTAGGCAACAGTTCTTCATTCCTGTAATCTAGAACATCGAATAGAGATATACATATATATACACACATAGATATGTATACATATACATATACATACACATACGTATACATGCACACATACATATATATACGTATATGTGTGTATATACGCATATATATGTATATGAATCTCTTGAGGTCAGAAAATGGTAGTGAACGAGCAGATATTTAACAATATACAAAGAAACAGACTGTGGCTGATTGTTACTTGACAAATTATACTAAACAGCTACAGTAACAGGGCTATTTTAAACTCCCTTTAAAAATGTTTAAAAAAAATAGTTTGATTGCTTTCACAATCTGACAGTCCTGTCTGTAAAGCAGAAAACAGTGATTACTTTATTTCTATCCCATTATCATCTTATTTTTAAAAGTTCCTTTTCCAAAAAGGAAATGACACCTGTACATAAAATTTTTTTAACCATTTCAGTACTATAGAATATTAGGATTACCACTTCTTTTTTTTTTTTTAAGTTTATTTATTCTGAGAGAGAGAGAGAGAGAGAGAGAGAGAGAGAGAGAGAGAGGGAGACAATGAATAGGGGAGGGACAGAGAGGAAGAGACAGAATCCCAAGCAGTCCCCACACTGACAGCACAGAGCCCGACACGGGGCTTGAACTCATGAACTGTGAGATCATGACCTGAGCCGAGGTCAAGAGTCAGACGCTTAACCGACTGAGCCACCCAGTCGCCCAGGACTACCACCTCTAATACTGGACAGAAGAGAGGACACAGAAAGAGCTGATCCCCGTGTGCAAAGGTGGAAGACTCAACGTTAGTGGTACTGCTCAGTAGAAAAAAATTAGGTTAAAGAAAGAATTTCCTGCAAATGAATTTCTTCTCTCCTAGTCTTTAAAAATGGGACATATTGGGGCGCCTGGGTGGCGCAGTCGGTTAAGCGTCCAGCTTCAGCCAGGTCACGATCTCACGGTCCGTGAGTTCGAGCCCCGCGTCAGGCTCTGGGCTGATGGCTTGGAGCCTGGAGCCTGTTTCCGATGCTGTGTCTCCCTCTCTCTCTGCCCCTCCCCCGTTCATGCTCTGTCTCTCTCTGTCCCAAAAATAAATAAAAACGTTGGAAAAAATAAAAATGGGACATATTGAAAAGAGATTAACATGCTTCAATACAATCTTGCTTAAGGGTAAAGCCAGATAAACTGCCCTCAACATTCATGTACTCTTACTAAACATATATAGAACTACTTAAACGTACCCCCAACCTTTGTACTTTTTAAATGAGATCAACATGGCACTTCCAGTCTATAACCACTCTGTGATTTCTTTGCTCTGCAAAGTATTCCGATCACTAAAGAAATGACTTGTTATTTGTTATTATCCAACATCCACAGAGATCTCAGGTGACTTATTGAATATATTGTTAAGCTGAATTATATATCAAAGCCTAAGAATTTATGCAACAGGATGAAAGTCTTGTTTCCAGATCTAGGCCAAGATCTCTCATCTAAGGTAAAACACAACATATGAAGGAATTTTCACAACAGGCCAGGAGACGGCACCTCTTCCCTTAAACGTAAGCTAAAAGAGATTTTCTGAGAACTGGAAATTAAACTAGGGTCAGCTAAGGTAATGGCATCAACAAGACAGCCAACTACAAGAGAGTTAAAGAATATAGATCAGGGGCGCCTGGGTGGCGCAGTCGGTTAAGCGTCCGACTTCAGCCAGGTCACGATCTCGCGGTCCGTGAGTTCGAGCCCCGCATCGGGCTCTGGGCTGATGGCTCAGAGCCTGGAGCCTGTTTCCGATTCTGTGTCTCCCTCTCTCTCTGCCCCTCCCCCATTCATGCTCGGTCTCTCTCTGTTCCAAAAATAAATAAATGTTGAAAAAAAGAATATAGATCAGAACAGGAACTGGAGTCCTCTTTTTCCTGTGTACCCTTACCCAAACACACACACCAGCAAATTTTAAAATAACACCTTCAGGGAGCTAATGATTTATAGTTATTGAATCAAGATTTCACTAAGAGCCTAAAGCAAACATTCGACCAGAAGCTATCTTTCCCAAATCCAAGTACCGAAGGCAAACCCCTGCTGTTTCCTCCTTTCTGCCCATTTTCCTCTACCTTCATTTAAGAAGGGGATACAATTACTCAGTTGTTTCCCTGAAGAGAATGATTCAACCAAGTCTCTGAGGAAGCACGTGTTAGTTAATCTGGTGCTCTGAAAGAGGTAATCTGCTCAATGGACCCAAGAGACTTACAAAATAGTGTAACCAACTCTCAAGTGGGAACAGCAGACTTTCCTCTAACCTGACAAAATTAGTAATAGGCACATAACCAGCATTAAATTACATCATAAATCCACTTCATGAAAATATTCTTTTATGGTATGGTTTAAAGAGTTCATGAAGACAAAGCAGAAACTGTTCAGGGGATTTAATATAAATAGAGAAAAAAACCCCAAATGGTCCCACAGGGCCTGGTTTCTCAATTGGTAGGCAGCTTCAATGCTGCCACTAATTTCTCTCCAATGGTTTCACTTAATGGAAACTTAAGTGGTACTTACTACTTAGAAGCCTACAGACAAAACATTTCAAAGAAGTCAACCTATACCTATAAAGAAATGACTACCACAACATACTACCACGTATCTAGTGGAACGGCTTGAGTTAAAAGACTGACAATATCAAATTTGGGGAGGATATGGAACTCACAAACTGCTACTAGACGCGTAAACTGGTACAACTACTTTGAAAACCTTTTTAGAAGTATCTACTAAAACTATCAGTTATATGGTATTAGACTGGCCATTTCATTCATATATATATATATATATACATACACACACACACACACACACAAACACACCAAACAGAAATGATGCACATGTGAATAAAGACTCATGCAAAAATGCACAGAATTACCCATATTGGTTCCTGAAAAGAACCCAAATGTCCATTAGTAGCAGAATATATAAATATATTGCTAGTACAGTTACATGATAAAAATGAACTACTGCCATATGCAACAAGGATAATTCCCGAAAACATATTTTTAGTAAAAGTAGACATAATACTGGCTTTTCTAAATGTTAAGTTCAAAGAGATGCAAAACTAACTATGATGTTAGGAATCAGGGTAGGGGTTACATTGGATAGGAATGACTTTTTTTTTTTTTTAACATTTACTTATTTTTGAGAGACAGAGAGACAGCACATGAGCGGAGGAGGGGCAGAGAGAGAGAAGGAGACACAGAATCTGAAGCAGGCTCCAGGCTCTGAGCAAGCTGTCAGCACAGAGCCTGATGCGGGGCTCGAACCCACAAACCGTGAGATCATGACTTGAGCCGAAGTCAGATGCTCAACCGACAGAGCCACCCAAGCGCCCCATGGTAGGAATGACCATTATTGATACACACAGGGGTGTTCACTTTGAAATAATTAATCAAATGTGCACTTCAGCAATTTGTTTCAGAATGAACCATGTTCCACTTTAATGTGGCATGAATTTAGGAGTGACCCTGGATGGCATTCTATTCATTCAAACACTATTTTTTGAATTCCCATTCTGTACCTGGCACTGGGGACACAGTGGTGAACAAAACATACATGGTCCTTGCCCTCCGACAGCTTCTTCTCACAGGGAGAAAGACAAATTATCAACAGATGAAGAGATCTACGAGCTATAGGTCCCATTTACAAGTTACAGAAACTGGAAATACCCTAACAGGTGGAACAGGAAGTGGTTTGGGTTGGGGAAAGCCCAAAATAAGAGCATGAGAAAGGCATCTGTTCTGCTTTTGGTACCTTACCTGGCTCAGAGCTGCTGCTTACTGTGGGTCTAAAGCAGCAGACATGATTTCTTTTTAGGCTTCTTCTTTTCCACTGGTGTTTTTCTATTTATCTGTCTGACCAGGTCATAAAATATCTAAATAGAAACAAGAAAAAAAGTCTTATTCAACAAACATTTGAGATCTTGCTCACAAAACAATCCTGGTTCTGTTAGATGTTATTTTGCTCTTGGATCTCTGTTTGCTACTTTGTTTTTAATGGCAGGTTTCTTAGAGGCCCCAGGTGACCTCAGGGTAAAGCAGGACTCACCAATTTACCATAAGGGAAATACATGTACTCTAAGACATTCAATATCAACCTAAGAAAAAAAAATTAGTTGTAAAAAATATGGTAGTGAAGTGAAATTCTTCATGGAATCTTCTATGCTTCAAAACATAATTATTAAGGGAATAGTTAATGCTCAACTTGAATCTTCACATTTACTTTATGTTTAGAAAACTTCAAATTCACCCTAAGTTGCAAGAATAATACCAAGGACTGGTGTATATTCTTTACTCGGATGCACCAATGACATTTTGTCATGTGTACTTTATCATTTCTCTCTAGACATATTCTCTCTTATTTTCTACACCATTTGAGAGCACTCTGCATACAATGGGTCCTTAAATGGGTGAGTATGTACCTCCTAAAAACAAGGATATTCTTATATAGCCATGTAGGTATCATGCTTACTACATTTAAGCACGGATATGTTACTCTGTATCATCTACACTGCAGATCCCAATCTTATCAGTTATCCCAATAATGTCTTTTAGAGTACTTCCTTCTCCTCACCACCGCAAATGGATCCATCATCGGATCACATACTACATGTCATTTTAATCTTTTAAAATCAGTTCTTCAGCCTTCATCTCTCATGACATTGTTATTTCTGAAAACTGATGGCTAGTAACTTTATAGAATTTCAGTTTGGGTTTGTCTGATGTTTCCTCATGATTAGATTCATGTTATAGATTTTGGGCTGTAATAGGACAAAAGAGATAATGTGTTCCTCTCAGGATATCATACGTAAAAAAGCACATGGTTTTCGTTTGCCGCTTTTTGGTGATGTTAATTTTGGCTAAAGTGAAAAATAAAAAAAGTGTGTGACCACAATTTGAAGTGACAAATACATCTTCATTAAAACATTTCTATTAATACATCTTTTGGGTTCATTCTGGATGAAAAATGCAAGGCATCAAAGACAAAAATACAACAGTACTTATTTCACAGAAGCAGACTATTTTAATTCTGATGTATTTCTATGTTTCAGAGTGCTAAGTATGCCAAAGTGTTGGAACAATTAAATCAGCTGGATTTGGTTCTTTGCTATGAAATGCAAATACTCACTAATGACCTGGAATAGAAGCAAATACCGCAGAATCTCCTTACTATTACTGATTTGTGATAAATAGTGCTTTGTAGAAGTGTATCAAAAGGTCCTACCTTTTAGGGGCATTATAGGGACAAATGACACAATCTGAATATGCACTGAACATGGGCTGTGTGAATAACAATTTTCTTGATTTTAATAATTGTGTTGTGGTTGTGTAAGAAAATGTCTTTGATCCAAGAGTACAGACACTAACATATTTAGCAGTAAAGAAGTGTGATATATAAACACTGACAAAATGTTAACTGGTGAATCTGGAGGAAGAGTAAACAGAAATTCTTATTGTTCTTACATATTTTCAATAAATTTTAAAATATTTTTTAAATCATTGGTTTCCATTTCTTTAAGATGGTGCTCAAATAAAACAATTTCTATTTACTTTTTAAAATGGTCCTCAGATTAGAAGACTAAATCGTTAAAAAGAGAAAAAAAAAAAAAAACACTACTCAGTGATTTATCCCAAAGCTGTAAGTGATTCGTTTATATTTTTTTCTTTCTGCTTTATCCTCCCCACTCCCATCTTCTTCAAACCATTTAACTTCTCTATTATCTTATTTCTAAGAAAGTTAAAAACACAGAATATATGGACAAAATGGCAGTTTGTTTCACAACTCTGAAACCCTTTAAAAACCTAATGTGGAAAAGCCACAAACAGGTTCTCCTTTGTTCCCTAGCCTCAATGAAGAAGCTGTAAAATAAAAAATAAGTAAATGGATAAACTAAAATAGTCCAAGAATCAAAACCGCACGTTTGTTCACGCCAGCAGTTCTGGGTGTCTGGGACTACACTGACTGATTTTGTAATAATACCCTCAACAACTTTGGCAAACACTGCCCACCTCACAGCCAATGGCTGGTTATGTGATGAAGGCAAGTGCGAACTATAGTTAAGTATTTGGTTAGATATGCTCAGGGTCCTCAGCCTAGGTTCTTCCCCATTTCTCTGAACTACAGAAAAATCTAAAGGGAACACAGAGGAGTTCCTCAAACCCTCTGTCATTCTCAGTTGGGATGTCTTAATGTATTTCAAGATTATTATTCCAGCCTCAGCAAAGAACAATTAATTCTTGATTAAGACTGATGTGATTCTGGTATTGCTATGTCCTAGTTCCAGAACATACCAAAAATGGTGTGGATAAGAGTTAAGACATACATATATTCTGATGTAGGTATCAGAGAATTAGAGGGCTACTTAGTCAAGCAGTATGTCCCCGTGTGATTTCAAATTTTGAAGTCCAACAGAAATCACTCATATATTTACAAAGCATTAGCTCTCGGAGGATAGCTGTTTCTCTCAAAGGAACTCTGTAGCTGGATTATCAGGCTATAAAGAGAGAGACATTAAAAGAAACTCAAACATTATACTCTAGCATGAAATTTGTATGTCCCTCAAAAGAGTTAAGATCCTTAAAATAGCTAATCTATTCCATTTTGTTTTACTGCTTCCATTTTTGTCTAATAAAGCCTCACGTCGAGGGCTGACTGGAACAAGACTGTCCTGAAAAAGGACCTCTGCTGCACTGGAAACTGCACCCAGAGAGAGGTGCAGCAAGCGGCACGGGGGTTCCCACAAACATGGGATGCTGAAAAGGTAAGGAACACCTCCTGTCTGCTGTGCTCACTGGACCCTGGCCCAACCCAGCCCCAGCTGAGCCCTATGAACTTGGTGGGTAGGTACCAGTGAGAGCAAGAACAGGGACAGCAAGGAGCCAGATCTCTAAGACCAATCATCCAGCAGATGGTGACCCTGCTCTACTGTCTCCCCGTCCAAGCTCCTGCATCAATCCTAATGCTTTTTATCTCCAAGTGCTTTTTTTGAGGAAAGACTGTACTAAAACTTAAAATTTTATGAGCCACATTTTTCAAAATAACATCTGTGAAGCTGTAATTCCACAACAGAGAAAGTTGAAGCTAAAAGCATATCATACTTCCTTTTTGTTTACTTGGCAGTGAAAAAGAAATGACAGGTGAAGATCTCACTAGGACTTGTTCTCCACTAGGAGGTAAATTTTAGGGCAGGAACAGTGTCTGGATGACTACTACCCCAATGCCTAACACACTGCCAGACACAGAGGCACACAATAAATGAAATTTATCAATTCTTATATGCTTATAAAAATTGGTTTTACCTGTAAGAGCAAGCTTTGACATTCTTGGTTATTTGAAAACAGGATTTGCAGCAAGCTTAATTTTTTTGCCTGTCAGATGTTGAAAGTAACTCAGTCATTTTAAAACTCAGACAACAGTGGCCTGGGTGGCTCAATCAATTGAGTGTCTTACTTCAGCTCGGGTCATGATCTCCCGGTACGTGAGTTTGGGCCCCGCATAGGGCTCTCTGCTGTCAGCACAGAGCCCGTTTCAGATCCTCTGTCAATGTGCCCCCCCGCCCCTCCCCCTGCTTGCACTCTCCCTCTCAAAATAAATAAATATTAAAAAAAAAACTCAGACAGTAGTCCACAACTATAATAATATTAAGTCAACGAAAAGTGACCTACAGAAGCAAAGGCCAGAGAGGAATAGCAAACGCACAGGATGCGGATAACCTAATGCACTCTCAACTCTCACCCATGTTGTAAATGAACTGAATTCTGCCTGATTGCCTGTGATGCCACAAATGACCAGCAAACTGGCAAGTGAAGACTTTTGCACTACTGTGGAAGAAAGAAGCCTACTCTGGTTTTTGTTTTTTTAAAAAAGCTTATGTTAAAACTAACAGATGCAAAGACAATCTCTTAAATTTTGGTTGGTTGGTGGGGGCAGGTAGACCTGGGCTGATCTTTTAGGGATCCAGTAAGGTATTGGATTTACACCCAGGCAGGCGGGTGTACTTGTTAAGCATTCCTGTCACAGCTATGTTCTCAAGATAGTGGAAAGCTTGAGTCATGGACAAAAAAAGCCTTGTGCACCTGCTGTATCAGGCCTCAATGACTGGGTGAACTACAGTTCCATATCCATGCTCCCAAAACCTCCTTTTGAGTCAGAAACCAAAGGAAAGCAGGACTCAAAACACCCAACTCTGCGATATCCATGAGGTAATAACTGTATAACATAAGTTGATAAGCTCAATAACTACTTTGATTTTTGTATTTTCCTACTTGACTTTACAACCTCTTCACACACATGTGCATAGGTAACTGTTACAATACAAGGGTAATATGACACTTCTCACCTACCGCCTTCTGGCATATCATTCAGAAGCTTAGTGGGACTTTAAACACATTGTTTAACTTAAACTTTCTCTATGCCGACAAGGTAAACATAAGTGTCCTCATTAGTCATCAAAGTGATGTTATGCAAGTGAAGGAATATGGTTTCTAGCAATTACCTAGAGTTCTGTATACACTGACAGAATCAAGACTGCTTAGAACAAAATTTTTTCTTCAAAAAACTTGGTTTTGGCTGTTAACTTAAAAGAAAGGTAACTAAAAAGGCACTTGTTTGTGCTGCCTAGCAGATGCAGGTTACCTCATTAACGTTGATCTTTGACTTTGCAGAAGATTCTAAAAAGGCACAGTTACACCACTGTCTTGCTAAATTCTGACCCTGTTCTTTGCCAACTACTCGCTCATCTTCCAGGTCACATTTATTGCCAACCAAAATCATTGGAACCTGTGGGAAGGACAAAACATAATATGAGCACTAGCATACTTGTTACTCTTCTAAGTAAGCAACTACCTGTCACCAATTGAAATGGATTAATTAGGGTCGTAAGCTTCACCAAGTACTTAAATAATATGTACTGTACGTGTATTGAGGGAAAGAAGGTAGATGGAGGGAGAAGAGACAGAAAAATATGGAAGAGATCCTACTATGCTCACTTGCTAAATTATTTTAAGGCTATAATCGCAACAGTGTCATGTGGACTACTACTAATAGCTGAATTCCAAGTACAAAAATCTGAAGGGAAAGGCAGCTCCTGCAATACAGAGAAGAATGTCTCCACTGGTCCTAAGCGTGGTTTAAGTGCTTCACCTCACAGGTCCAACGAACACCAGAAGTAGTGGCAAGACAACCCAAGCGACAGGTTCTACTTCTGTATCTGACGTCCAGATTTGAAGACCAGTTTAGGTGAGATGTTAAAAAAGGACAAACAATAAAAATACAGCCACGAAGCAGCTATGCCTTCCCTTCCTCCCCATGCCAGATATGCTGTCCCAACTGCCAATTAAACGAGTCGCTAACAAACTGTGCAACGTCCTTAGATAAAAGGTGGCCACAGAACAAAGTCATCTGTGAGGTGATGGACACTACACCCAAGAAAGGACTGAAGGCACACGTGGATCTTGTGTCCCAAACAGACAATCATCACAAGTCAGGCGAAACATACTAGACCTACAGCTCCATCTTTTTCAGTTATTACACGGAATAAAGAGGTTCACATTACCCGAGTTCAGTGATTTGCATGTAATTGCCTACGAAAACAGAAGTCTCTTCGATAAATTAGTCATGGCAAAGAAGAGAACTATTCATTAGGTTACGGTTGGTAATGAGTCATATGGTAGAAATCCCTTCCGCCTACAGTATTACCCAAAGTTGAGGTCCTGAGCAGGTGCATATGTTCCCATTAATAATGAGAGAGAACACAGGGAAACAGAAAGAAAGGTACACATGAAATTTTATATCCCAATTTAGACAACTGAAAAGGAACTCTCTGTAGTTCAAAACTGAGGTAAACATGTAAAGTATGTATTTCATCTTTGCAAAAAGGTACAACAGCAATGATGCCATTCATCAAATAAGAATTCTATAACAAAAATAAAATGTACAAAATATAAAAATACAGCTAATGAAAATCCTCAACATAATTAAAAGGAAAACACTGTAAGTAAAAACTACCAACAGAATTTTAGAAATGGAACATACCACTATGGTTCTCACTAATGTTCTCTGAACACTGTTTCTGACATAACTACCACCTTTCAAAGCTCAACTCGAGTCCCCCACTTCTTCTACCAAGTATTCTGACTCCTCTTCCTTGCCTACTGCATTTATTAACACACAGCACAATGAGCACTTTACCATACATACCCTCCTTTTCTAACTATCTTAGCATATAATTTGCAAGTAAATTTAGAAAGTTGTAAAAATTTTCTGATCACAGGGACTCTTTTAGGTATGTGGTAGATACCCCCCAAATCCTCTTAACAGAAAAACAGACACTTTTTATTTGGCCACAGAGAAAGAGCAGTATGTCTTATAGAGAGAAATATACTTACATCTTCTGTGTCCTTAACCCGTAAAATCTGTTCCCTCAGGTCCTGTAAGTCATTAAACGTGGACTGAGCTGTGATAGAATATACTAGTGCAAACCCTTGGCCATTCTTCATATACAAATCCCTCATTGCTGTAAATTGCTCCTATAATAAAAAAAAGTACAATTATAAATATGATTTCTTGATTGAACACTAGAACAATTTGTATCAGAATAATCACAAAAGTGAGCTACTGAATTTTTTCCTACACGTTATCATGATAGGAAACCTAAGACCTATTTTACAGTTTCTAGAAACTAAGGTGAATGTTCTTGTTCCCTACTTACATGACTAGAAACCATGACAATGAACTGAAGAATCAGAAGGGAGATCTTAAACCACTTTAACATGGTTTTTCTGTCATTTAGAAAACTGTATGTAGGTCCCTTTTACATATAGATCCTAATTAAATTATTTTGATGCTACTAAAGATGACCTCCAAGAAGTATTGCTAGAAAAGAGAAGTCCCAAGTACTGAATCCTTAGGGTCTCCAATACTAAGGGGTTGGGAGATGAAGACGAATCAGGAAAGGAGACTCAGGACTAACCAACGAGAGAGGGAGAAAGCCAACCAAGTGTTGCTTCCTGGAAGCCAAACGAATACAATTTGTACAGAGGATAGTGATCAACTGAGTCAGAGGTTGCTGAAAAGTCCAAGGGAGCTGAGGATACATGCAGAGGGCGGATCATGAATAATGACAGTCCACCAAAGACTTGAATCGATGTGAAAAGGGGGTTAGGATATGAGGATGATCAAAGATGATGGGATAAACGTACTGCAGGTTCCAGGGAAGTTGAAGGTATAAAAGGAAGTGAGAAGGAAAAACAAGAGGTGGTTGAGTGGAGAGGGATGCTTGAAAATAAGATGAAGGCTGTATCACAGTTATTGGTAATCACATAGTTTGGGGAAGACCATGGGCGTGAATGGCTGAAGCAGCACGGAGATCAAGACACTGATAGACCGGGGCACCCGGGTGGCTCCGTCGGTTGAAAAAAAGGAAAGAAAAGACACCGATAGGCCAAGGGAAATGGATCATCTATAATGCCATATAGATTCTATTTGGATACTAAAATCACCAAGAATTCTAACTGAAGCAGCGATGGAGAGAGTGAGCCAAAATCTTCAAGGAGTAAGGAGTAATCCGGGACACGATTAATGAACACCAACTACTTTCCAAGCTTCATGCAAGGCACTGGGGACACAGACAACTAAGATACTGGAGAAAGATATCTCCGGTAAAGAGCTTCTTAATTTGGACAAGAGGAAGAAAAAAGAATCCTCGCACACTTGTGGAGGTGATGAATGGGGTAAGTATTCTTTAACTTTTGGGGTGTCTGGGAACACAGGGGAATGACTGCTGATTCAGAAGCTAAGGAAACTGGGGAGATGGAATTACAAAAGGGGGAGACAGTGAGTCAGCAGATCTAAGAAAAATGTAGTTCTAATGATCCCAAGCTTTCTCCTGGAATCAAGACCCATTTTCCCACAAAAGAATGGAAACATACAGTTTAATTAGTATTACAACTGCTCCAGCCTACTTACATGCTTTTCCTAATGACATGAAACTTTATCATCTACGAAATTGTTTGGAAAATTTGTGCTAAATTTTAAACAACTTATAACATTTAAGAATAGCATCCATTTTAAAGCTTAGAACTGCCTAACAGGGAAAGTCTATATATATGTATATGGAGAAAAAAAAAAAAATCGCTTAATGTGTGCATTCTTTTGTGGCAGTATAACAGGAAATCATCAGTAATTAATAACAAAATTATACAGGAGATGACAAAGGAAGGCAATGAAAATAAAAGCAAATTCTTGGAGCTCATACTACATAACAGGCATTGTGCCAAGTGATTTATAATCATTATCTCATTTGATCATAAGCATGCTATGATATACTAATGTCATTATACAATACTCATTTAAAGAGGAGAAAAATCAGGCTCAAAATAATCCTGAAGATTTTTGTCAGATTTTCTGTCACCAGCCCCTTGGAATGTTAAAATGCTAATAAAAAAGCAAAAACAATTCTGATAAAAAATAGTGACTATGGTGCCAAGAGACAGATTCCTACCTTAGGTAGGAATGAACCCAGAGAAATACCTACCTTAATTACAATTCTGGATTTAAAATATCTTTTGTTAAAAGCAGTAATAGGATAATCTTTACCTCCATATAGGGAGAAGATACCCAACACACACATTTGGGAGGTAAACCTGACATACAATTTGAGAGTGATACGTGGGTATTAAGCACATGTTGGAAGCAGTTGTAAGAAAATCTAAGAAGCCCTACCTTTAGGTAATTTCTTCTTAATCAGAGTAATTACTTTTACTTTACTCAGAGGAACTATTCAGATGACAAAATCTGTTCACTAACTAAAATTTATCAAAAAAAGAGAAAACATCCTTACTGTTCCTGCTGTGTCCAGGATCTCAAGCATACACTGTTGGCAATCTACTTCAACTTGCTGTTGGAGAAGGGAGGAAAAATGAAAAATATTATCAAATCAAAATGTCAGTCTGTTTTCCTGCCACCTCTTCACTCCAAGTACCTATTAACAACTACAAAGCCTTTCTCCAGGAGTTTGCTATACTGGTTGAGACTTAACTTAGTGGAATAAAGAGCAGGAGGTCTCAAGCATGTTCTATTAATACTACAGAAGCAGGACCGCTAATGCTGAGTTTAGATAGTTTCTGACCACTGTAAACTGAGTAATGATTTTTGTTACTATTAGAAGGCAATGGTTATATTCTCTGTTTAAGAAAAATTACAATAGGTACAGTTCTGACAGAAATAAAAATGTATAAAAATATGTATATTTATATGATCTTTGAAGAAAAAGTATTAAATAGCTCAAAATACAGATAAGATTTTAGAGTAAAGAAAATTCAGCCAACTTACCACGTTCAAGTTGCTAAAGTTATACTAAAATATACCCTAAATTTAATACATTGGAAAATTTTAATTTAAGAGATAAGGGGAGGGGCACCTAAGCGGTCAGTCAGTTAAGACTCTTGATTTTGGCTTAGGTTATGATCTCACAGTTCGTGAGACAGAGCCCCACGTCGGGCCTGCTTGGGATTCTCTCTCCCTCTCTCTGCCCCTCCCCCACTCATGCTCTCTCAAACTAAATAAACTTAAAAAAAAAAAAAGAGGTAAGGGGAACACAGAGGTGCTAAAAAGAGTAACACTGAACTCATATAGTCCTCAAGACTTTAAGAAAAAGGTACTTCTTTGGAAAAGCTGTGTGCGTTAGGTGAAATTTTATATACTGAGTTGTATTTCCCCAGTGTTTTATAACCTAAAAGAAGGGTTGGGCTAAAGACAGCAGGAACTATCAACTGTGCAGAAAATTCTTAATCAAGAAAGGATTAAAAAAAGTGTTAAATCTTCAGAACTCTAGGTACAGATCTGTTTGTAGTTACAACGTTAGATGGCAACTTGTTTGGGGGAAATTTTAGTATTGCAACACTATCTTCTAAACATGAACGTATTAACCTAAGGCCTATTTTAAATGCTTCTGTGTCAGATCAGGGGTTGATGAGAAGCACCGCTTGGTGCTACAAACTCACTGTCCTACCACTAAACGGGACTAATGCGGCATAATCGGCATCATCAGTAAATGGGCATGCTCAATGAATAATGAATGAGGTCTGCAGTTTCTCAAGGTATCTAGAACACAAGTTTATTTCCAACTTGCAGATAATGAAACTGCTCTGGCCAGTATGGCTGGATGAGCTTACTTAATTTAACAAAACTTGTAACACTATTAAAGGTAAATTCTATAACATCTAACAACTCAATCCTTCCCAATTTGTTGAAAGGTACGTTTAATTCCCTGCCTCCCTCCTTAACATACTTGGGAAATAAAGTTATGAAAATTCCCCACAATTCTAGTCTTAGAATGAAATAAAATAGTATTTTTTGTCAAGACTATTTTTTTTTTCCTTTTAAATAATCTTTATGTTTTAGAACTTGGGCTTTAGGTGCAAAACAAAACTGAGCAGAAACTACAGTGTTTCCATATACCCTTCTTCCTGCTCCTCACTGGCCTCTCCTACCATCAGCCTCCCACACCAGAGTGGTACATTTGTTAAAATCAATGGACCTACATACAGACATCATTATCATGCAAAGTCCACAGTTTATGTTATGGTTTTACTCTTGGTGTTGTACATTCTACGGGCTGGGAAAATGTGCAATGACGTGTACCCACCATTACAGTATCATACAGAATCCTGTATCTAATTTTTGCTAAAGATGAAATATCTTTAAAAGTTACTATAAAACTAAACAAAAATAAAAACATTCAGTCACTGGATAATTTCAAGCACAAAAGTGATCTTCATTTTAGTTCACAAAAAAAAAGTTGTCAAAAATATACCTATATTCCTATGCAATTTTGCTACATTAAAAAAAACCCCAGGGCTCCTGGGTGGGTTCGTTGGTTGAACATCTGTCTCCTGATTTTGGCTCAGGTCATGATTTCACAGATCATGGGATTAAACCCAGCACTGGGCTCTGTGCTGACATCACAGAGCCTGCTTGGAATTCTCTCTCTCTCTCTGCCCCTCCCCTGCCTGCATGCATGCATTCTCTCTCTCTCAAAAAACCATTTAAACAAAATAATTAAAGGGGCGCCTGGGTGGCTCAGTTGGTTAAGCGTCCGACTTCAGCTCACGTCACGATCTCGAGGTCCATGAGTTCGAGCCCCGCACTGGGCTCTGGGCTGATGGCTCAGAGCCTGGAGCCTGCTTCCAATTCTGTGTCTCCCTCTCTCTCTGCCCCTCCCCCATTCATGCTCAGTCTCTCTCTGTCTCAAAACTAAATAAACGTTAAAAAAAATAAATAAATAATAATTAAAAAAAAAAAAACCAAACAGGAAAATGTGCACACTAAAGAACACCTTACTCACCAGTAATCAAACACGGAGCTTTCTGTAGCTAAGTAGTATTCTATGAGAAATAGTCTGTCTTGGAGAAACTTCTATTTATTTTTAATTTTTTTTAACGTTTATTCATTTTTGAGAGAGGGAGAAAGAGACAGAGAGTGAGCAGGGAAGGGGCAGAGAGAGAGGGGACACAGAATCCAAAGGAGGCTCCAGGCTCTGAGCTGTCAGCACAGTGCCTTACGTGGGGCTCAAACCTACAAACTGCAAGATCATGACCTGAGCCAAAGTCAGACGCTCAACCGAGTCACCCAGGCGCCCCTTGGTGAAATTTTTAAAACCAGATACAGAACATCTGTATCACTTCTCAAAAACTATTTTTAAAAACCAGTTCTGTGGATCAAGTTTTAAAGCCCTAAGGAACTATTTGTAAGCATGCATATACAAGTTTCACATTTTACCTTTCTGTAGGAATCTTCTATCGTTGGGTCATATTTTTCAACAAAAATTCCCTGAACAAACTGAACTGTCTAGAAAAAAAGAGCAGAGAAAAGTTAAGAACTTAAAAGAAAAATCAACTACTCTTGAATGCTACTTACACCCTTACAAAGTGGCAAAGATTAAATGAAATTATGTGAAAATTCTGGGTAAACATGCAGATGTAAAGTCTCATTATTTTCTAACACCAGGATACATCCACAACCAAGAGGGCACATTATGAAGGGAGGTGTTCATATCAAAAGCCGTCAGCAAGGCTGCTGCCAACTCACGTTGTGAAACTATATTAAGTTTCAAAATACAATGAAGATACAAATAAGAAGGACATACCTCCTAATTTATGAAAAAATGAAAATTAACCAGTATTTAAGCTAATATTCCTTCACATTATCTATAGTAACTTTTATCTCATGCCCTTAAAGCAATGAGACAAAAGGGTCTAAATTTTTAAGAACCTTAAAACAGTTTCTCTAATTGTGGGGGAAAGAGAAAAAGAAATTTACAGGCACTGAATTTATTAAATTCACAGTCTCATTCGAATTTCACGTTCTCCCCAGTAGTAGTTATTTTTCCCGTTTGCCAGCTGAGATTCAAATATACAATCTTCCTGATTCCAAAGACTTCCTTTTTTCATTGGAAACACTTCCTGCTCATCTTTTTCAGATTTTCTACTTCTCTAAGATTCCTGTAAACACAGACTTATGAAACGAGGTATTTTATCATGTGGTAAATAAAAAGTACAGAAGATGGCTGTGAAATACTGCCTGGACAGATTTAAAACCGGGTCTGGTATATTGTTGCCTAAAAGCAAGGAAGGGTAAGAATATGGCCTGAGGTCACCTACACTTAATTATGCACTAGTGTAGCTTGAGCTAAACAGATGAACCAAAATACAGTAAACTTCAAACTTCTTTCTCCTAAGCTCTTGTTCTTCAAGAGAGACTCAGGACAGAATTACACCACATCTTTTATTATTTTTATCAAGGATTTAATCACCTCATCCTCTTAGTACTACATATAATTCAAATACGGAAAACTTCCTAAATCCTTTATTCTAGAACAGAGGTTCTCAAAATATGGTCTAGAGCAGACGATTAGAAAAAAAGTATCTCATAATACCATGACATACTCTCCTTGTCTCATAAATTTACAGTGGAGTTTCCCCATGGGTATGTAACATATGCTATAGCAAGACACTGGATGCAGAAGCAGGTATGAGAACCCAAGTGCTTTCTATAAGCCGTTGTCAGACACTTGCAAAAATGAGAGACAGTCTCACAGGTTTCGTGTCCTTCTTGTTAAAGCAAACCTTCATCACTGCTCTGAATCTCATCCTCTCAGTTCTCAGGGACAGCTCATTCATCCATACTGACTTCTATTCTATTCCTGTAGTTTTTCTACTGAACCCTCCTCTTCCTTCCTTACCTACTGTCCTTTCTGGGTTAAAATAAAAAACGGAGACCAGCCTTGAAAATTCCCTAAGCAGATAATAACCAGTTCGGTCATACAAACAAAGCTTAATTTAGTTTATTTAGCGAAGCTAAATTGACCTAGGGATCATTTCTTGCTTATGCCTCTGGAAATCAAAGGCGAAACTTACACTGTTTCCCAAGGTGGGTATGAGGTAACCACTAACCAATTTTCAGTCATTGAAGAAAATTCTAACACTATAACCAGTCACTGTGAAGAATAAACAGCCACTGCTTTCTCACACAATAAACTGCTTTACAACAATATACCTTCAGCCTCATTCAGTGTTCTGGTTTGAAGGTGTCTGGTATGGAAACTGTCTTTCTGATGTGTGCACAATAAACTAATTACTACTTCTATGATTCATTAATTTTACTTCTGTTATTTCTGAACTTTTGACACCTGGGACAATGATTCCCTTCCTCTCTTGTGCTATTATTTTCCTTTCCACATAAGCTTATGGCCTCCGGCACACAATTTGCTCTACCATCTCCTACCCTGAAATAAATATTCCCCTGAACTCCATGACCACTCTAGCTTCACTCCCCCCCACCCCCGACCCCTTTCTCTGTTTCCTCTCATCATCAAACTTTTTCAACTATCTATAATGGTGATTCTATTTCTTCAGCTCTCATGTACTCTTCAACCCACCTCAGGACGCTTACAGCACCATAACCTTACTGAAGTTGATTTCACGAAGCCCAGCTACCTCCATATTCCTATATCGTCTCCTTCCTCTACTTGACTTCTGAGCAGTCAGGTAGAGATCCACTCTTTACATTTAAGTATAACATACACTCTTCTCTGCTAGATCCTTCAATTCTACCTACTCTTTAAAGGTTGAGAGGTACTCAGAGTTCAGTACTGAGCTCTTTCTTTCTCTAGTCTCTCCCTAGACAATCTCATTTATTCCTATGGATTTTTATTTTTGATCATTTTATTTATTTTTGAAAAGGTAATTCATGAACATAGGACGAAATACAAAAGACACAACAGAGTAGGCAGTGGTGACCAACCCTACCTACCTTCCTTTGTTCTCAATTATACAATTCCACTCCGAAGTAACCAGTGTGTCATCTGTAAGCTTATTTTACCTCGCAGGGATAGTCTGTGCATTTTATACTATCTTCCCCCTCACCCGTTTTTTTTTTTTTTTTTTTTATAAACACAAACGGTAGTCTACACTGCTTGCTACCTTATTTACCCCTAAATAATACATCTTGCATATCACTACCTGTCAGTATATACAGACCCGTTGCGTTCTTTTTAATAGCTCTGTATTATTCTACTCAAAACATTAGTATTAAAAGCTTATTTAACCAGCCCATACTGGTAGGCATTTAGGTGGTTTCCAAACTCTTACCACTATAAAGAATGTTACTGTGGACATCCTTGACCATGCTATTTTGTACATATGAACTTATATGTGAAGTCTAAAGAGACTTGCTGAATTGAAAGTTCTACACATTTCGGGGCGCCTGGGTGGCGCAGTCGGTTAAGCGTCCGACTTCAGCCAGGTCACGATCTCGCAGTCCGTGAGTTCGAGCCCCGCGTCGGGCTCTGGGCTGATGGCTCAGAGCCTGGAGCCTGTTTCCGATTCTGTGTCTCCCTCTCTCTCTGCCCCTCCCCCATTCATGCTCTGTCTCTCTCTGTCCCAAAAATAAATTAAAAAAAAAAAAAAAAAAACGTTGAAAAAAAGAAAGTTCTACGCATTTAAATTAGATATCCTCATTCACCTCAGAGGTACTAATTTACATTGCTAAGAGTAACATAATTCTCACGAAATTAAATACTGTTGATATATTCATGGCACCCCAAATCCTATCACAAGTCTCTCCTTTAAGCTATTATCTTGAGGACCCAATTTCTTATGTGATGTATTTACTTTAGCATCTCACATATCAAATGTGACATGACTGCTGATTTTCACTCTCAGATCTGCTCATTCTCCAGTGTTTCCCTTCTACTTAAAGGATCCATCCATAAAATTAGTAGCTCAACTGGAACTATGGTAGTCATCCTCAACAGCTCCTTCTCTCCTAGTCCTCACATCAAACCAGCACTAAGTTATTTAACTCTCAAAACATCTACTTTTCTCTTCTTCACTGCTATGGCCCCAATGTAAGCTCCCACAAACATTAATCTGGGGTTTGGCATTAACTCCCAACTGGTCTCCTTGTGTCCACTCGGCCTCTCTTCTAAGTCACTCCACACATAGCAAAGTACTCTCTTTAAAACATATATCCAATTCTGTCAATAACCCCTTCCCTCTCGTCCAAAAAAATAAAACTAACTTTCAATGGTTTCTCACTGTCATTAGGAATAAGTTTCAAGCTCTTACATGGTCTTCAAGTCATGGTCTGGCCCCTGCTTCTCACCTCATTTCCCTCTACTTTCCTTCCAGTTCACTCCTGCCTCAGCAATTATGACCTTAGTTATTCAAATGCTAATTTAAGTTCATTTGTCATGGGGTCTCTCTTAACAGTCTGTACTTTTCTTTCAAAGTATCTCTCACAATTATAATAAGGTAGTTCTTTGTTTAATTGTGTATTTCTTATATCTCCTCCACTATATGATAAGCTCTGAGGGATTGTGACTGTTTTTGTTCACTGTTGTAACCCTGGCATCTGACATCATATAAGCTCAATATTTAGTAAATAAATACAGCATGTATACAAAAAATACCCTTTGTTTCACTTAAGTCTGTCCTGAGGGTTAGGTAGGTAGGACTTATTCCACTGGTATCTGAAATAATTAGTCTCCCCTACTGGAAGGTAAGTTCCTTAAAAAATGAGAATGATCTTATTCCTCTTTGAATCCCAATCACTAGTGCTCGGCATATGGTAGGTAGTCAATAAATATTGGGTAAGTGAAAGAATGAGTGAGCCACTAGTTTACAACTACACATCTGTGGTTGCTGAATGAATCCCCGGCCCCTATGAGACAGATACTAGGCATATAAAAAATACTGTCACCTTTTCTCATTAGTGACTAAAAGTTTTAAGGCAAGCAAATATCAATGTTCTTCCTATACTATGCTAATTAAGTTAGAGTTAGGTGGCTAACTTACCAGAGCAGACTTCCCCACGCCTCCTGAACCAAGGACCACTAGCTTGTACTCACGCATGATGTGGTCTGTTTAAATACTGACAATCTGGAAAAAAAGAAAAAAACCACAAAGATCAATAAACATGCTAAGAATAGCCTTAGAATGTACAAATGTTACATGAAATAATATGGTATTTTGGATTTTGTTTGCTTTTTCCCTTAAGGTCATCAGGCGGAAGACAGGCTACATAGCAAAACCATGAAGATTCTAACCTAAGTTTGTAATGACTACTACCAGGCATTTTAATTCATTAAAGATCATCTTTGACTAGGCACAAGTCATTCGAGTCTGTTCATGTTACTTCCAAGAGTGATCAGAAAATAAGGTGATTAAAACTAGTAGTTGCCTTATAATTACAATCATGAACTCAATTCTTTACAAAGCTATTGTTTAAATGACGTAACAGGGGCGCCTGGGTGGCGCAGTCGGTTAAGCGTCCGACTTCAGCCAGGTCACGATCTCGCGGTCCGTGAGTTCGAGCCCCGCGTCAGGCTCTGGGCTGATGGCTCGGAGCCTGGAGCCTGTTTCCGATTCTGTGTCTCCCTCTCTCTCTGCCCCTCCCCCGTTCATGCTCTGTCTCTCTCTGTCCCAAAAATAAATAAAAAAAAAAAGTTGAAAAAAAAATTTAAATGACATAACATACTTTTTTGAAAAGTTCACTC